GTGGATGAGGGTGCAATCCACAAAGTCCACATTTGTAGCAACTGTTGGCTCCTCCAGGAACTTCAGTTCCGAATTGATGAGCTGGAGTCTGAACTGTGGACACTGTGATGCATCAGGGAGAGGAAGAGTTACCTGGACACAGTGTTTCAGGACAGCGTGGCACTCCTTCAATTTATTACATCAAATTTGGTCCGTGGTCAGGGACAGGCATGTGTGACTGCGAGTGAGGCAGGTACTGGATCCAAAATTTTATTTTGCAGGCACCTCAGCCATGTGACACAGACTGCAGGGAAAATGAGCCATTCAAGTGGGAGGAGAAAGGAAAAATGTAGCAGCAATCAAGTGTAACAGAGTTAAGGGAATAAATACAATTCTCTGAAGTACAGAGACTCCTGAAGGCTTTGTTGCCTACCCAGTGCCAAGGTTAAAGACATCTGTTTTGAAAGGAACTTATGGTGGTAAGGATCCAGTTGTCATGATCTATGTAGGTGCCAACAACATCGGTAGGACTAGGAAAGAGATTCAGTGAGGAATTACAAGTAGATCAGGGCTAAATTGAAAGCAGGACCACAGAAATAATAATCTAAGGATTGCTACCTGAACAATGTGCAAATTGTGAAGGATATGTAAGATTAGAGAAGTAAATATAAATGTATACATAAGCAGAAGAGGGCAACAGAAGTTAAAACCAGAATACGTAATAATGATAAAAAGTCAAATCTTAAGGCTCTTTATCAGAATGCACGCAGCATTTTTAACAAAATAAATGAGTGATGGCACAATTGGAAATAATTGAATATGATTTTTGTGATTCTATGTTTCCATGATTTAATAGCTATTATGGACGCATGGTTTTATGGTGACCAGGATTGGAAAAGTAAGCAAAAAGGAAAAGTGGGTCGTATAGCATTATGAGTAAAGGAAGGTATCAGTGCGATGATGAGTAGTGATATAGGTGCAATATATTGTAATGTGGAATTAGTTTGGGTGAAAGAATAGCAAGGGAAAGAAGTCACAGATGAGGATCATGTATAGGCCCCTGCTGAGTTACCTCACTGTAGGACAAAGTGTAAATCAGGAAATAACGGAGACATGTAAAAAAAATACAAATGTCATGGGTCATTTTAATCAGCATATTGACTTGACAAATCAGATGGGTAAGGGTAACATAGGAAACAAATTTGTAGACTACAGCAGGGATTGTTTCTTAGAGCAGTACATTGAACAACCCTCCCAGAAACAGACTATTTTAAATGTAGTAATGTACAATGAGGTAGGATTAATAGGAAATCTCATGGAGATGTGAAGGAACTTCTTCTTCCAGAGGTTGGTGAATGTCTGGAATGCTCTAGCCCAGAGGGTTTTGCAGGTTAGATCGCTGGAAGTATTTAAGGAGGAGACAGATTTTTTAAATATCAGGGAGTCAAGGGCTATTAGGAACTCACATGAAAGGGAATTTCAGGCCTGGAGCAAATCAGCCACAGTGTTATAGAATGGTGGGTGTAGGAGTGAGACCAGGTGTGGAGGCAGGCACAATGCAGGCACATGGCAGACTTTTATTCAAGCAAAAACCAGTTAATGCAGGGAGAGGGCCAAAGGTTCTTCCCCGAATCTGGCTTTGACATGAGAATACAATCATTCCCTTAATCTGCAGCTCAGATTCGAAGAGAGACCAATGACACACTCTGATTTTTACGCACTCATTTCTGCTGGAGTTGTGAAGATAATCGAAAACAGATATGGAGACTTTCAAGCACACTTTGTCAAAACAACACAAATGCTTGTTTAGAAATTCTTTGAGGTCTTCAGATGGAACTCCACCTTAAAAGAAGCACCAGGAGAAAGGGTCATAGCCATCTTTGTCTGGATGAGAAGTGGAAGGTGGACATGAGGCCAGGCAGAGTAGCACCAGTTGCTGCAATAGGGAGGGATGAAAACTCATCGCAGTAGATGAGGAGTTCACTGGCAGTAAAAAAACAGTATTTTTATACATTTTGTGTTACAATGATCATACATAACGTGGTTGCTGTGCCCACCCTTTCCCCTCTATGGGACCAATCCTGTAAAATACCTGATCAGTGGTGGGCATTCCAATAGATGGACCTAGGTTCCCTTAGTCTCTTAACAGTTATTGTAATCTCTCAGCCTTGGGATCTTTCTATGTTGCATTCCAAAGCTACTGGCTGTTCTCTTTTGGTCATGTCCCTGGCTTGCTTTTATCTCTGAGGGACTGCTTGAATTCTATTGCTCATTGTACTTGCTATCTCTATCAAATTTCATCACTTCTTTTACTATAAAAGGCAGTTGATTCTGTTATAAAATTCATAATATTAAAATTTTGTAGTTATTCCTACTGTTCTCACTCTTTAGCTAATGAGACAAGATATGCCAGGCATTTCTTTAATGTTTTCCCTTAATACTTTCATTATAAAGTTTTATAATTACGTTGGAATCTATCTCTGTGATTATTTAAATAATCTTTAAAATATTGTAAATGATTTCAAAGAAACAGCTAATTTCTGCAAGTTAAGTTTAGCCGCTATTTTTATGGCTGAACACATCCTTTCCTTAATGAGACTGGAATTAATTACTTGTTGTAGTTTCGTGAGCTTTCAAAGTTTTTTATAAGTTACAATTCCATTATTTCTTCTATGTTTATTACAAATTTTCGAATTGTTCATCCTTAAATTCCCTTATCATGTTGTCTTTGTATTCTTTGGAATCTTGCTGTTCAGATAATGCTCTCTTTTGCCTCAGAATAACCCCCTTCTCAAAGGCACAATTGTTTTTCACTTAAATGCTGAAAAGGCTTTTTAAATTTTGGTCATTTTGTGTCTCTTAAAAATAGGCAGTTCAAGTAGGCTTTTCTTTCAATTCCAGCCATTTTGTGTCTCTTAAAAATAGGGGCAGCTACAACAGTGGGGCAGGCTTGAGAGGCTGAATGGCCGATTCCTGCTCCTAGTTCTTACATTCTATCAAATCTCTCCTCATTCTTCTCTACTCTGAGGTGAGTAAAAACAGCCTCTCCCTCCCTTTCTCTGGCTTACTGGGCCAAATGAGTCCAGAGGTCTCTCTAGCTCAGGGCTGGTATACTGTGCTGTGTCTATCATCCTTCCTCCCTCCACTGTCTCTCAGCCACACCAGAGCTCAAACATAATGCATAGTGGAAAAGAAATAATAGCAAGATTGTGCAATTTAGTCTTTCACCAGATAAAAATCAAAGAACACCAGCAACTGGAAATCTGAAACAGAAACAGAAATTGCTGAAGAAACTCAGCAGGTCTGGCAGCATTTGTGGAGAGAAAGCAGTTAGCGTTTTGGGTCTGGTGACCTTTCTTCAGAACTGATTGTAGCTAGGAACAGGTTGGCTAAAGACAAGGGTAAGTACATAAACAATAGATGGAGATGGAGCCCAGAGAAAGAGAACTTTCATTCTCCTAGTTTCTCTGTCGCCAGCGAATCTGTTCTGATGATGCAACCTTCCACAAGGGGCCCCAGAATTGTCCACCTTCTTCATCAACCAAAGATTCCCCACCACTGTGCTTGACAGGGCCATCAGCTGTGTTCGACTCAACTCCTGCACCTCTGCCCTCTGTCCTTCACTTCCCCACAACACGGATAGGGTCCCCCGGTCCTCACTTTTCAACTCCCGCAACATCCACATCCAAAGAATCATAAGCTGCCATTTTCATTCCCTCCAGCCGGATGCCACCACCAGACACCTATTTCCTTCCCCACCTTTGTCAGCCTTCTGCAGCGATTGTTATCTCCAGGACACCTTCGTCCCCTCCTCCTCCATTCCAATGCCTCCTCACATCCCCATGGCACATTCTGATGCAATTGCCCATTTGCCTCGTCCCTCCTCACTATCCAAGTCCTCTGCCTCACCTTCCAGGCAAATCAGTGATTTACTTGCACTTCACTCAATCTAGTCTGCTGTACTTGCTGGTCACAATGTGGTCTCCTCTACACTGGGGAGACAAAATGCAGACCGAGCAAGCACTTTGCAGAACATCTACATTCTCTCCACAACAGTAGCCCCTAGCTTCCAGCTGCCTGCCACTTCAACACACCACCGTGTTCCCTTGTCAACATCTCTGTCTCAGGCTTGCTGCTGTGCTGCAGCAATCGCAGCAAAAGCTGGAAGAACAACATCTCAATTTCCTCTTAAGGACCGGAAATATTTCAGGGTCTAGAAAAGTGCAGCAGTAATACTGAGCTAGTGTGAACAAAACAGTAATCTGGGGGATAGACAACTGTAATGTAACAAGTGACAAACTACAGTTGTAGTGTACGGGTCAAGCAGTTATGCAGGGTTGAAAAGGAACCAAGCCCAGAGAAAGGCGGTAGTGATGGAATATAGACTTAAATTACAATACCCCCACTTCTTACTGCATTTTCAAGTCATGATTTGTTTTGACATTATGGCCTGGTAAGGCAATTCCTCTGCCCAGGACCATAAGAAATTACAGAAGGTAGTGTGCACAGCCCAGACCATCACGGAAGCCAACCTTCCATCCATGGAGTCTAGTTACATGGCCCATTGCCACAGAAAGGCTGCCAACATCATCAAAGACCTATCACACCCCGGTAATGCTCTCCTACAATCTCTTCCAGAAGATACTGAAGCTGGAACATACGCACCAGCAGGTTGAGAAACAGTTTCTTTTCAGCCATTATTTGATTAATAAATGGACTCTCTAACTTCAAATAATACTGATCTCGCTAATGTTGACGCCCTGTGTGATGTAACCTATAAGCCTCTAAGTTTTTTTTCACTCTATGATCCTATATGTCCTTGCTTACCATGATCTGCCCGTACTGCTTGTAAACAAAGCTTTTCACTGTACTTAGGTACATGTGACAATAAATCAAATCAAAGTCGACAACTTTGTACGCAGGCCATTTATGATTTGTACTGATTTCTGGACTGTTGGCAATTGCTAATTTCCTAGTTTTTGCACGGATTGCAAACTGGAGGGAATACTCATGCAACTGGATTAAAAAGAAGTTCAATATTTATTGAAGCACAGATACAATCTCAACCATGTACATAATCAAAGTTATTTCAGAAGCCATACTCTACATAAAGCTGTTAAATAATCAGAATCAATTTTAATACAGAGACCAAACTAAGTGACCAAAATTTTAGCTTGCTTGCTACCTGCAGGTAGAGGCTTTGGCTTACTCTGCAGCAACAAACTCTGAATTGACTTCTGGAATGTGAGTGGAAAAGCTGAGGTTGCAATTGTTGCCGCTGTTGCAAGTGAGAAGATGCTTCCAAGTCCTGTTAAACATTGAGGAAGAAGCTTTCCCCATTATGTAAAATACAGCCAATTAAAAATCTGAAACACTGAGGGCAATTCTCAGCAGCAGGCATTAACGGTCTTACGAGGTGGTCATGTTATGATCTTGACCAAAAATACCAATTGAGCCTGCTAAAGATGAGAAGTCTTCATGGTTAAAAAAACACAAGTTGATGCACTAGACCACTCAGAGGCTCACTAAGGAGTTGATTGATACATTGACATTTCACACTCATTTCTGCTGGAGCTGTGAAGATAGTTTAAAATAGATACGGAGACTTTCAAGCACTCATTGTCGAAACGACACAGTGCTTGTTTAGAAATTCTTTGAGGTCTTCAGATGGAAATCCACCTTAAAGGAAGCACCAGGAGAAAGGGTCATAGTCATCTTTGTCTGGACGAGAAATGGAAGGTTCTCATGAGGCCAGGCAGAGTAACACCAGTTGCTGCAATAGGGAGGGATGGGAGGGCAAGCTGTTGTGTTTCCCCACTGTAAGTGCAGGCCATTCCTTGTCCACTGGATGTCCTCCAACAAGACTACTAGAAACCATGTGCAACAGCCTGTGAGCCTACCCCCTTGGTCACTGAGAAAACCTGAAACATGTCACTGGGGACCAGCCAGAGAACTCCTCATCTACTGCAAGGAGCTTCCATACACCGTTCCAAGAGCGGTGTTTCTAAACAGCACTGGGGTGCTAACGCTGCAGGTTATCACTTCTAAATAAATTCAAATTGTGGCAATCAACAATTGGGAGCAAAATGGTGTGATAAATCCAGACTTTCAAAAAGGCCTCAACAATGTCTCAGTAACACTGCCCCCATTTAGCAAATGATTTTTACATTTCCAGTAAGAAGAGCCCCACGTCACCATGAAATTTGTTTGCTGGATCAAGTCAGCCACCATCTTAAGTGGATGGCTATAGCAGCTGAATGGCCTATTTCCAATCCCTTGGTCAAAATGCAAAGCTTTATCTATCCTTTTGGATCCCAGTAATATCTGGATTTTTGATTGCAACCTGCCTGTCTTGTCAATAATATTGATTTTCCTTGAGTAAATTGTACAGATCAACCAGCTAACAAAAAAAGAGCATTACAGAAAATAATAGCATACACCAACAGATAACAACAGAGCTGTCTGCAGTTAAACATAATGAATAGTGTCGCAATTTAATAATTATGATTAGAGTGTATGATGGTTCATTGAATATGGTGTTGCTAGTGATATGGTGTTGTAGCCTAATAGCATCTTTTCCATGTTGTTCACTCCAGTCGGGACATTAGATTTTTATGAATTATAGTTCACCGGTGCGGCTGCTTTCAGTACAGCCAAATACAATCACTTCAGCCTCGACTCAAAGTCAGATTGCAGAAAAGAAGCTGCTTCAGGGTTTGGGGAGGGTCATAGATTAGCTTCCTTCCTCCCTGCTACTCAGAGCTTGGTTAATGCTGAAAAATGTAAAACGAGTTGATTTTTAGACACTCATTTGTAAGATTATCTGCATTCAATGGTGGAGGCAGCATCCACTCTTACTAGGATCTGCCCCAAATGAATAAAACGGTCAAAGCAGAACACAATCCTTATCAATTTTCCACTTGCTATCAAACTAAAATGCATGCTATTACATTGACAACAAATAAATAAGAAGGTGACGGTCAGGATTCCCCAGCGTCAAGGGTCAATCCTCCCATAGCATTACATGAGTCTTAGCACAGAAATCTCACTCAGGATTGAGTCTTTACTTCGCAGTTTAAGAGTTGTATATTTAATTTGTATGCATACATTATCAGTATGAGGAAGTAGTGAGGTGATAGAAAGAAATGAACATAAATTAGTGGTACAATGTGACCAAACCTTTGTAGCCCTTCCAGAACATTCCTGCATACCTGCACCATTAAATGGATTTGAAATGACATCTCAAATGTCATTCCTGGATCTCTGCAGGAAGTGGAACCAAATTCCCTCTACAGCAAGATCCAGCTTTAGATCACAGATTTTTATGGGGGTCTTATTTTACCCAACGACTTTGTCCATTCCCTCCAGGAAAGGAGGGGCAGGACTAGCAAACCAAAATTTCCAGATATTTTGCACGTCCTCAGACACCATCATCATCACAGCCAATCATTGAATGATGGCTCAGACCTCCTGAAGACAATTCAACTTCTTTTTGTCATCTTATCAGCCCCTTACAAAGGTGAGCGAAGGAGAAATTTTTGGCATCACTCTCCCATGGTTCCATGAAGCCCAATTGACCTGCCCTTGGAAAATGCAACAGTTGCGGGATTTTCTGACACACTGGAGAGAACAAATTGCTTCAACCTCACTTTCATAACACTGGCATGTAGTTGAGATATGGAAATGAGGTGACTTTGGACAGTCCCGCAAGTACACCAACCAAACAGTGCCATAGCAGCAACCTCCTAGTACTCAAGTCGGGATAGACTGTGTCCCAATAACACCAAACCCTGTCAATTCCACTCAGATTTTAGGTCCACATTCATGAGCAATACTGGTGATCATCTAGAGTATTTACTAACAGCTTTTAGATGGACTGCCTGGACATTGGATTCCAAGATACCATGTCCCTGAACTTTCCGCTAGGCTGGATTCTGTAGACTGAGTGCATCCTGAAACTACATGTTCCCTGTCAGTGTTTCTACATCTCCCATTGTCCCAGTGAGTTGCATTATCCTGACTGTTGTGCACTTTACCACCTACTTTCAGATATTTGCAGGATTTAGGAAGATCCCTGCATCTTCTTCTGTGTTTTTTATTTTTTATCATGGTGATGGTATTTTTCACCCAGCTCTCGTTTGGATTCACACAAATGGTGGCACGCTTCAACTCCAGGCTGAAGAAATAGAGAAAGATTGAACAATTGTAACATAAAATTAAAGACTGTCAAGGGTTGGAGGAAGAGATAGTAGGCCCGAAACGTCAGCTTTCCTGCTTCTCTGATGCTGCTTGTCCTGCTGTGTTCATCCAACTCTACACCCTGTTATCTCAAGGGCTGGAGGAAGATGAATGTTCACATACTGTCCCAAGGGGTGTGGGACACAGTCTGACTGGAGGTGGGCACAGCCTGACTCAGGTAGCGCAGCCTGACATTTTGTTGGAAGGGGGGATGGGGTAGTTGGGCACTATCTGATACATGGGGGTCATGAAGTGGCATGAAGGAGGAGGAAGGGGAATCACAGTCTTACACTATGGGGAGGACACAGTCTGACATGGGAGAAAATCGTAGTCTGTCATTGGGAGGACATTATGGAAAATTCATTCTGAAAGTCTTAACATGTTTCCAAATATTTTCCCACTTTTTCCATGGAAACAATTTGCAGAGAGAGCTGTACTAACACAGATTTAAGCTGAAAGTAATAGATATACTCTTGTGACGGTGGAGAGGCTAGACACTGACCTGGTCTGAGTGACCAGGAAACCAGGCTGTGTGCTATATGGGTTGAGTTTTTGGACTTACACTATTGCATGTAAGTTGCAGCTTCCACCTGTGGTCTGCTCTCGGTAACTGATGACGTTCTTCTGGATTTTGCGGTGATGCTTTACTTCAACATGTTTCAAGCAGCAATCTTCAAACCAGCTTGCTGTTGAGAGGTAAAGGGTTACATTAGTCAAGTAAGAGCAACTGTTTCAGTCTAACAGGCCAATTTGAAACCCCCTTCACTCTACATTCCCATTGGTGACATGTGGTTCTACTCAATGTCATATCACTTCTTAAAATTTTGTTAACTACTCTATTATCACTGCTAATGTGACATATTACCCCCTCCTTCTGATGATTATGACTCATGCCAGGTTAATTTTCTTAATTGCTGGTAGTCACCTTGTCTGGTGAAATTGACTTTGATGATCTATTGCACAGATTTCAATTGCTTTTTTAAAAATCCCACATTGTCAATGATCTGAGCCCCCATCCACTGTTTGACCCATTAGTACTGCAGAACACAGTATGATACAGTTTATGCCCTAATTTGTCTACCTGTACCTTAACTAATGCCTTAATTTTTTTTCACAGCCAGACTTATATTTTGAATCAGTTGCCATTATTGTTAAAAAGAATCAGAGATGTGAAGCTGTCAGATAACCATTGCAATGTTTTGGTAACTCATGTCTTGTTGGTTGTTACTGGTGACAAACAAAATGTTGGAAATAGAATCACCTTTAGCGTTGCTATGCCTGTGTTAGGCATCACTTGATCAACTAATTTTAAAACAAAATGCTTGTGTTAGTGCTGGGTTCAATTTTAGTAGAATCAGAACAAGATAGGAGATGCTGTAGAGTTGGGATAAAGGTGGTGGGGGAGTGGGGGGTGGATAGTGGTGGAAATTGGCCAGGATTTGTGATGCTGATCACTGTCCAAGCAGTTTTATGGAATGGGGTTATCAGATGAGGACAAATTCAGAACTGCTCGCACTGCATGCTTCACCTGGTTAAATAGTTTGCTGGCACAAGAAGAATAATGAGATGCTGATAGATTATTGGCACATATTAAATCACTGCACGATTCAGCCAAATGCTGTTGACACAGTATATGCTTGCCAGCGCTTCAGGAATGAAAGATTATTCCTGATGCAATCAGCTCAGGTGAAAATGTCCATATAAACCATTGGAACAATGTGTGTTACTGTTTTTCTTTTTTCCAATGCACATTTCTATTCATTAATTACAAAAATGAGACCATAAGACTCTAAGACACAAGGGCAGAAGGAGACCATTCAGCCATCAAGTCTGCTGCACAACTGAATGAGATCGTGACTGATCTGATAATCCTCAACTCCAAGAATATCGGGAAAGTAGGACCAATCTGAAACAAGGAATTAAGAGGGCTAAAAGAGGTCATGAAATATCTTTAGCAAACAGGGTTAAAGAAAATCCCAAAGCCTTTTATTGATACATAAGGAGCAAGAGGGTAACTAGAGAAAGGGTTGGCCCACTCAAGGACAAAGGAGGGAAGTTATGCGAGGAGTCAGAGAAAATGAGTGAGATTCTTAATGAGTACTTTGTGTTGTTATTCACTGAGGAGAGGGACATGATGGATGTTGAGGTTAGGGATAGATGTTTGATTACTCTAGGTCAAGTCGGCATAAGGAGGGTGAAAGTGTTAGGTATTCTAAAAGGCATTAGTGTGAACAAGTCCCCAGGTCCAGATGGGATCTATCCCAGGTTACTGAGGAAAGCGAGAGAGGAAATAGCTGGGGCCTTAACAGATATCTTTGCAGCATCCTTGAGCACGGGTGAGGTCCCAGAGGACTGGAGAATTGCTAATGTTGTCCCCTTGTTTAAGAAGGGTAGCAAGGATAATCCAGGTAATTATAGACCGGTGAGCCTGATGTCAGTGGTGGGGAAGCTGCTGGAGAAGATACTGAGGGATAGGATCTATTTACATTTGGAAGAAAATGGGCTTATTAGTGATAGGCAGCATGGTTTTGTGCAGGGAAAGTCATGTCTTACCAACTTGATAGAATTCTTTGAGGAAGTGACAAAGTTGATAGATGAGGGAAGGGCTGTAGATGTCATCTACATGGACTTCAGTAAGGCGTTTGATAAGGTTCCCCATGGTAGGCTGATGGAGAAAGTGAAGTCGCTTGGGGTCCAGGGTGTACTAGCTAGATGGATAGAGAACTGGCTGGGCAACAGGAGACAGAGAGTTGTAGTGGAAGGGAGTTTCTCAAAATGGAGAACTGTGACCAGTGGTGTTCCACAGGGATCCGTGTTGGGACCACTGTTGTTTGTGATATACAGAAATGATTTGGAGGAAGGTATAGATAGTCTGATTAGCAAGTTTGCAGATGACACTAAGATTGGTGGAGTAGCAGATAGTGAAGGGGACTGTCGGAGAATGCAGCAGAATTTAGATAGATTGGAGAGTTGGGCAGAGAAATGGCAGATAGAGTTCAATCCAGGCAAATGCGAGGTGATGCATTTTGGAAGATCCAATTCAAGAGCAAACTATACAGTAAATGGAAAAGCGCTGGGGAAAATTGATGCAAAGAGAGATCTGGGTGTTCAGGTCCATTGTACCCTGGAGGTGGCAACGCAGGTCGATAGAGTGGTCATGAAGGCATATGGCATGCTTTCATTCATTGGACGGGGTATTGAGTACAAGAGTTGGCAGGTCATGTTACAGTTGTATAGGACTTTGGTTCGACCACATTTGGAATACTGCGTACAGTTCTGGTCGCCACATTACCAAAAGGATGTGAATGCTTTGGAGAGGGTGCAGAGGAGGTTCACCAGGATGTTGCCTGGTATGGAGGGCACTGGCTATGAAGAGAGGTTGAGTAGATTAGGATTATTTACATTAGAAAGACGGAGGTTGAGGGGGGACCTGATTGAGGTCTACAAAATCATGAGAGGTATAGGTAGGGTGGATAGCAAGAAGCTTTTTCCCAGAGTGGAGAACTCAATTACTAGGGGTCACGATTTCAAGGTGAGAGGGGAAAAGTTTAAGGGAGATATGCGTGGAAAGTTCTTTACTCAGAGGGTGGTGGGTGCCTGGAACGCGTTGCCAGCAGAGGTGGTAGAGGCAGGCATGATAGCATTATTTAAGATGTATCTAGCCAGATACATGAATGGGCAGGGAGCAGAGGGATATAGCTCCTTGGAAAATAGGCGACCGGTTTAGATAGAGGATCTGAATGGGCGCAGGCTTGGAGGGCCAAAGGGCCTGTTTCTGTGCTGTAATTTTCTTTGTTCTTTGTTCTTTTGTTTCACTTTCCTGTAATTTCCCTATTACCCTAATTCCCTTATCTGTTACTGATTAAAAATCTGTTTATCTCAGCCTTGAATATACTTAAGGACCCAACCTCCGCAGCTATCTGCAATAAAGTATCCAACAGATTCACTACGTTTTGAGGGAAGGAATTTCTCCTCATTCTCTGTCTAACTGGGACACCCCCTAACCTGAGGTTATATCCTGTGATTCTAGACTCTCCCACACTAGGGAATAGTCCCTCTGCACCTGACGAAGGGTTTCGACCCGAAACGTTGACTTTCCTGCTGCTTCGGATACTGTCTGACCTGCTGCGCTTTTCCAGCGCCACATTTATTGACTCTAGCTTTCAGCATCTGCAGTCCTTACTGTCTCAAAACCTCCCTGCATCGACCCTGTCAAGACCCAAATGCATCTTTTATATTTCAAAATTCTGACAATGGAGTGAAAATGGTTAATTGATTCGGTAGGATGGACAGACCAAAAATGATCATGTGACAAAACCTCCCGAAATATATCTAACCACAGTGGGCAATGTGAGAAATGAAAATTTCAAATTCCCATCCCATCCCCGAGACAAAAGGGAAGAATCATCATTGAGCCTTTTGAATTAAAGGACAAATTTTAAAAAAGCCTTGTTTGACTATTATTTTTTGAATTAAGTAGGAACACAGTAGAACCAATCCAGGTATCCATGTCAGGTGCCAAGACAATGTAGCCATTAAGGGTCCACAACAGAGCCCAGTCAGCAATATCGCCAGAACAGCATCCACAAAACTCCAATGCCTGAGGAAAGAGTGAGTGAGAGGAATTCACTGCCCTGTAACAACCAGGTTTGGGTTCTTTGAGGGGGCTGTTTGAGATCCCTGCAGGACCCAGACCAGGAAACTCCCACAGGCAGTTCCTGCAGTACCCCTCCAACTTTAACGTCACCACAGTGAAGTTAGAGGGCTGGGATTGTCTCCTGCTGCCAATGCTGGGCACAGCATATCCTTTCCTAACTTGGAAAGAATGCTACAAAGTTGCTGGGCCAGTGCAGTTGCCTGATATAAAGCACAATTTCATCGTCACTAGGAATTGAGCAAACCCCCTCAGGGCAGCAACGATAAATATTTACCTTCCTATCGATTAGTATGGGAAGATGAAGGATCAGATCCCTGAGTACAGGCCTTAAGGCAATGTTCAACAAACCCTTTGTTCTACTGACAGGTTAATCACAGTTTAAGCAGAAAACCCGAGCCTCATGAGAGGTCACTGCTCCAGACGCACTCCGAGTGGAAGAGAGTCTTCCTTGTCTGTGAGGGATCGCCAACAAGACTAACACATACACGCACACACACCTTTAACAATAGGTAGACTTAGAAACACCTTGGTTTTTGAAATTTTGAAAGTGAAAGTTTGAAGACAAAAGCATTGCACTGAAACACTCACCTTGCGCAGTGCTCAGGTAGAAGCAGACCGCCATCAGAACTAGGGCAAACAGTTGGAGCCTCATTCTTTTCCTCCCAAGTGTGAATCCACAGGGACAGCTACTAGCTACAGAAAGACAACATAGCAGTTCTGTAAGAGGCAGAGTCACTCCCAGACGCTATTTATTATCACTGCTTGCTCTACTGTTGTGGTGGGCGTCAGAGCAGGCAGGGTTTGAAGGAGACAACAAGGTGCAGGGCTGGATGAACACAGCAGGCCAAGCAGCATCATAGGAGCAGAAGGATCTCTGCTGACTTTCTGCACCTGCTTAGTGAACACTTTCCTCTCACTCCTTTCGTGGGTGACGGACTTGGAATCCCTCAGCAACGTTACTAAGACCACAGGGCAGTGCTTTTCAGTCAAGGGTTACCATAACCTAAAAGTTCTCCAATCCAAGATAAAGGGATTCTGCACAACCTTCAAGTCACTTGAAAATTACCAAATGTTTCATATATATTGTATATGAGTGTATATTAGCTGTTACATTTCCAAGTAGTATTATTTAATTTAATAGTGTTTTACTTTGTTTCATAATATATAGGCAGTGGGGAGGGAGAGCATGGTGGGGGTGGGGCGGCTGGGGTTCAGAAATTCACAATATACCTGAACAGAGATTTGTTATTAGCGCCGGGTGGTGACGTGCTGGGCTGCAGTTGATGACAGTGTTGATACACATTGTTCTCAGTTTGAACGCCTCCCTAGTCACCACTCGTTCTTCCTTCCCTATCAATATCAACGACATGGAGGTGCAGGTCTTGGACTGGGGTGGACAAAGTCAGAGTCACACGACCACGAGATTATAGTCCCAGCAGATTTATTTGAAATCACAAGCTTTCGGAGCCTATCAATATTGACCTTATCAATATTAACAGCACTGCTTTGCTGTCAGGTTCACTCCCGGCCTGGAAGAGGAAAGATTTGAAACCTTTGATCTCCCTTTCTTCAGATGTGCCCACCTGAGAACTGTCTGTTCAAAGGTGACAGGATGGGACGCCTTTGCAAATCTGAGAGCCGAGGAGGAAAATAAAAAAAAGCTCATTTTGATCCATTAATATTAAATTTAACACAGTACCTCAGTGGGAATAGAGCGAACGCGTCTCACATGAGAGTGTGAGTGGCTGTCCTCTATGAATCGAGTAACACTACAAGTTTCACTTACCTTGCAACGTAGTTCCTTCTTTTTCCAGGCAACACGCGTGAGTTTTACCTGGACAGAAGAAACGTTCCTTTTATAAATATTGTTAGCCCCACCCCTACAGCAAGCACCCTGAGAAACTGCTGACGGTTTATCAACCGATATTACTTTCAGCACTCCGGCTTTTATTGCACAGTTTGCTGCATTGTCGAGTTCTTTTTACCAAGCGTGTAATTCCCAAACAAAACAGCGTTTATATTACAGCCAAACGAAGCTGATTTTGCTTACTGCACATGCTGAAGGTTGACAGGTAGCCCGGTACAACTGGATATAGATCCCGTTCCACTCATAACAGACACCTGCTATAAAGGTCACTTTCTATTCAATAGAATCACTGGCATCGGAAACCTAACATTGAACTGGACTCCGTAAACCCCTATTCCCACCGCACTAATCTTAGAAGGACCTACTCCAACCCCTGGCCATCTATGTGTGCGTTAGTCATTTTGCATTGAGGTAGGTCTTTTGGTGAGCGTAGGTTGTACTAATATGTGAATCAGGATTTATCGCCTCGAGTTCAGGCTAAACTTTTTTCAGGCTTTGCTGCAGAAATGCTAAATATTTAAACGGACCTGGGTGACTTTGTACCCCAGTTACTGATGGAGAGCGTGCAGGTGCAGTAAGCAGTTTGGAAGGCAAATTGTATGTTGGCCTTCATTGCTAAAGGGTTGAATAAGGATGCAAAGAAATATTACTTGAGGAGAGATTGATTCAACTGGACCTGTATTCACTGGAGTTTAGAAGAGCAAGGATCTCGTTAAAATGTATAACATTTTGATAGGGCTAGACTGACTGGATGCAGGGATGATGTTTCCCCCAGCCAGGGGTTCAGAACAAGGAGTTGCAGTGTCAGGATACAGAGTAAGGTATCTCAGACTGAGATGAGGAGAGTTTAGAATTGCAAGTTGAATCACATCATTCTACTTCAGCGATGCCTTCACTGTGTACACACCTTTCAGCTTCCCCTTTGGTTGAGGGTGACCTAGTGAGCTGGTAGCAAGGACAAACCCTTATGATATGCGGATGCTTTAAAATACTCATTGACAAACTGTGGCCCATTGTCTGGGATTACAAGGTCTGGGATTCTTTTCTTTCCATGATGTAATCACTGCTTCAGATGTGTGATCCTGCAGTTTTGCAGAATACTGTCAGTCTGGAGTATTAATCTACTATTTTCGTGAACATCTTATCTCAGTGTTCAAAAAGGTCCATTCCTAGATGTTCCCCTGGTCTAGATGGAAAGGAAGATTACATCAACAGTTCTCTTATCTTCTGTAGATGAATAGCACTAGTAAACAGCCCTTCCAATGATTTTGACACACCTGTCCACCAAACAGAGCCTCGTACTCAGATGTTCTCAGTGTAATCAGTCCAGTATATTGATTCTTGGAATGACCAATCCTTCATCATAAATAAATAAATCATCCACTACACTGAGGTGTCTTCTCTACTCATTGTCTTAGAATGGGGTTGCATGGCATGTATGCTGGCCATTTTTTGGTGCAGTACTCTCTGACCACAGCACATCCTTCATCAGGTTTCTGTGTATCTCTAATTTCACTCAGTCACTAGATTGTTCTTGGTAGATTTGTGGTTATTATTGCTGTAAAGGCTTCCACTTCTTCAGTGAAAGTTACATCTCCCTGTTCAGATCTTTCTGCAGGAATATAGGATAAAGCATTCAGGATATTCTGCTGCTTTTCTGGCACTAAATTTCATCCTCCTCAGTCTGAATTGATATACTTATGGAGGAATTTTGCTGACCCCTTAGAATTCAAGAGTGCCAATAAGGGTTTGTGATCTGCCTTTATCTTGAATTAAAACCAAAAACATCATCTGCAAACTTTTCACAAACCTGCATGGCAGCTAATGCTTCTTTCTCAATCACTGTACATCTCTGTTCAGTCTCTGAGATTGAATGAGATGCACAGTAAACTGGTCCATCCTTTCCATCTGTCTATATCTGAAACAGTACAGCTGTCAGTCCTTTAGGAGATGCATCAATAGCAATGGTGGTGCACATCTTTGTATCACAGTAAGCAAAGCTCTCAATGATATTAAAATCTCTTTGTTTTTTTTTCAAAAGACCTCTGTTGTGTTTACTCCCAGCACCATGTGTGGTCCTGTCATAGCAGCTGGCATAGTGGCTCAGTGATGGCAGCTAGGTTGGCCAAAAACTTTCTGGCTTGGTTCACCATCCCCATGAATCTTTGGAGCTCAGTCACATTCCGAGAAGTTGGGAATTACTTGATTTCCCCTGTCTTCTGTCGTCCTGTTGTTCAACTGTGATAATTTGCATTTGTTGTTGAGTGTATGTCTTGCTGCCACCTGTAGGTAGTGCAGCACAACTCAAACTCTAGAATCATGTTCTATCTAAATGGATCCATGGATCAGGGAATCATCCCATTTGAGATGCAACTACATCCAGTCCTTTTAGGATATTTCTCATTGTCTGAAGACAGATTTCTGGAACTGATGGACACTGAAGGGTAATCTTCTGAAACAAAGCCTTCCAAATGCATAATAATGTTTGTGAGCAACATGCACTCTTCATCAAGGGATAGATGCCAAAAACACAGCTTGAACACAGCAAAATTGAATTCTTTCCCAATTTTGATAAACTCTCATTCACTGATAACATAGGAAGGAACTTCACATTCAACTTCTGTGTTCAGCTGTATAAGATCAATGCAGGTCCATTAGGTTCTGACACAGTGCCTATACCCAAGTACCAGCTTGTTGGTTCGGTCACAGATGACATAACCCCTTATTTCAAGACAGAATCAGTTTGCTTCTTTACCTTTCACAAAAGTGGGTGAGGAACTTTTCTGAATATAAACAAACACACCGGCTTCAAATCACAAAGTACAGTGATGTAGCATGCTGCCTTCAGTTTTCCTTGTCCAGTGAATAGCTATGGAAGTTCAGCTGCGATACATTCAGACTGTTTCTCAGCCTTCCAGATCCTGTACTCTACAAATCAGATGTAAGACAGTGCTGGCTTTCCTGTGTAAGAGTGAACAGCTCTGCTTTAGGATCACATATATCATTTCAGTGATTTTTCTCTCTAAATATATTGAAGAGTTGCATTCAGTTGTTGTATGACCTTGTGGTCTATAGCTCCTGTGTAGTTTCATGCATAATAGCTGAAGCAGACTTTTTTCAAACCACTACAGTATCAAAAAGAACTGAAACTGCTGCATCTGTGTCTAACTTAAAGCATCCCTCTATATAGAACTTCAGCAGTTTCAGCAGCTTCCACGGGTCTCTGGATCTCTCCAAGAACAGGCATCTCAAAAGTTCTGAGGAAGGGTCACCGGACCCGAAACGTTAACTCTGATTTTTTTCTTCACAGATGCTGCCTGACTTGCTGAGCTTTTTCAGTAACTTCTGTTTTTGATCTCAAAACCATTGATAGCTTCCTCTACTTTACGGATTTTGGTACCTGTTGAGGACTTTTCCAATGGCCTTTGCTGAGTACACTTCTAGCTGCAGCACACAGCATGCAATGTACCTTTCTCTTGCAAAAATGGCATTCAACCTCATTGGGAGGACAATTTTTGCCCTGGTGTTTTTCTTTCCTGCCACGTTGATAGCAGTTAGCTAGATGCTCTTCCTACTTTTCCCACTCTGGTACGGTCATCTCTCTACTTTTAACCTTAACATACTTCACTTTTGGGACACAGTTCTCCCTGTCACCCTGAATTATTGATCAGCTTTGCCTCTTGATCTCAGCTTGTCTGCTCAGTTGAATTGTCTTTGTTAGTGTTAAATGATCTCTTGACTGCAAGTAGTCAGACAATGTTTCATGAAAAACTTTTAACAAGATTGCTGTTTCTGATTAGTTCTTTTTCTAAGCTGCCATATGCACAGCTCTCTGCAAGTCTATAGAGATCATTGATAAAGTCTCAATACTTTCCCCTTTGTGCTCGCTATGATTATTAAATTTAGTCTGCAAGTCAGAGGTATTTCTTCACAGGTTCAAGTAGGTATCAAGTGCTTTTATTACTTCCTCATACACAGATTGTTTCTTCATTCATCCCTTGCCACTGTAGGCTATTATCTGCAAGCCACGAGTTGCATTCAATAGCTCACTGAGCTGTTCACTGCTTGGCCTTGCAGATATGTCAGTTGTAACACAATACCTGGTAAATCTTTGGCACCAACTCAGCCACAGTTCTGCTTGATTGAGACCTGCAACCTGCTTGGGAATTTTCAGAAAAGGCTAAGACTTGCAAATGATGTTTTCTTTGCTGCGACCATATAATATTTTTGGTCTCTTTGTGCTACAAAAGAATATTTACAAAATCTTCTGAAGTAAGGAAACCAATAACTTTATTAAACCAATAACTTAGAGTGGTTTCATCTTGCCAGGAGGCTGCAAGAAAGAGCACGAACACGTTACATTACATTACATCCGGTGATGATATATACTGTCAGTATATACTTTTAGCATATTACACAGTTAGCATATTACACAGTCAGACTTGATTCCTTGTACTACAGTAGAGAGTAGCATTTTCTTTAGAAGATGGTGAAGGAATGTTCCAGACTAGTGATTGAGCACTTGTACTGTCAACTTTAGCCTTCATGAAACTTGGAACCATTTAAGAAAGAGTGTAGTCATTTTCTGTGAAAGTTTATATTAGATAATGACTTGGTCATGTGAATGTAAAGAAGGCTAATATATCTTCAAGTTCCAGGCTCTTTATCTTCATCATCGGTTAATCTTCGGTTTGAGGATGACGTGAATTTCCCCCATGGATCTTCTTGCGATTGAACATACCAGTGCTCAACCGGCAGGTTTCTGCTGCATGGGGCAGATGTTCCATCAGCTAATGGGACCCAGAGTGCAGGATTTGCTTATTTTACATTCTTTATCTTCTGCTGCTCTGCCTCAATTAATATGACGTTGTGACTCAAAGTCTGTGCAGCTTGATGGGATACGTTGCTCCATTCAGAACAATTGGTAGCAAGCTTCTGCCAGTCATGTAGATCAGTGCTGCTGAACTTCAAGAAGAACTTCAGAGTGTGTTTGAAGAGTTCTGTTTGTCCCC